TTTTAAAAACACATCTTCATTCAATAACTGTTCAGTCAAAGGGCTAAGAATGAATGAGAGCGTTTACTACTTAAGGTGAGTTATGCAAGGTAATGGTAAGCAAGGAGGTGCAGGAGCAGCTTTAAAACATGTAATAGGAAACAGCAGTAACAACAAACACTGGAACAGCCACACCACTCCATCATCACTGTCACACAACCCATGCTGCCTAGAAATTTTTTTAAAGTTTTGTTAGAAAAACAACAATATTGGGAAATTTCTCTCTTCCCACTCTGGGTTTTAACATATAATTTGTATACAATACTAACTACATAAAGTCACGCTGAAACACTATATATTTATTCCCAAGACTCTGGGAAGTGCTTAAATACATATATCTAAGCCACACACGACCACCTTCTGTAAATGTCTTTACACCCCCCTTTTTAGTCACTCTTTCATTCCTTACTCTACCTCACCCCACCTTTTAAGATAAAGCTACAGAATAACATCCCTCAAGAGACAGGCACAAAATCCTCCATAAAACATCAGCTAACTGAAAAAGCAGAATACAAAACAGATGATAGACTATGACTGATGGCTAGAACTGGACATTAAAATTGAAATTAAGGCTGACTTTAGCACTCAAAAATGAATTAATGTTATACAGCACACTAGTGGATGAAGGTAGAAATGACATCCTGTAAAGCCAGAAAAGCTATTTGATAACATCCGAAGATTAAAACTCTCAACAAACTAGGAACAGAAGGGAATTTCCTCAAACTGTGTACAGGCCCCTAGGAGAAATCCATAGCCAACCCTGTATCCAGCAGCAAATGACTAAACACACTTCCAAAACGGAGGGGAAGGGTATTCTCTACTACTTCCACTCAACCTTACGGAGACGTTTCTAACCAGTGACACATATTGATAAAATCATAAATTACAGACATCTAGGGAAAAAGTATCTTTATTCATAGATCATATGACCTTGTAAGTGGGAAGCTACAAAGAGTCCTCAAAAATTACCCTCAGTTATTCATGTGTTCTTTGACTACAATGAATTTAGTGCCACCAGAAGGAACTAAGAAAGTTGTCACAGGACCTGCTAAGTTCCTGTAGGAGTGCATTGCTATAAAAAGAGGAAGACTAGCTCCCTTTGGCTCCCTGTCTGACCATGGGCTCTCTTCTCTTATCACTCCATCATGATGCCATCTACCATGTTGTGGCATAGCCAGCAGGGCCTCTCCAGAGCTGAGCAGATATAGACATTACGATTCTGAATTCACCAACTCTGAGCTCTGTCTCTTTTTGGAAGAAAGCATGCAGCAACAAGTATTTTACTATAGCAACAAAAAACACACTAATAAAATCAGAGGAAAGTTAAATAAACCATTACTTTCAACCATTTAGATGATGGGTTTTTAAGCCTGTGGATCCGATCTGATCAAGTCTACTGCCTGCTTTGTCAACAGCTACTGGTACACTTCACTTCCACCCATTCACACACAGCTATGGCTGCTTTTACACGACTGGCTGAGCTGAGTTGTGACAGTAACGTAATGGCCTACAAAAGTTAAAATGCTGTCTTGGACTTCAAAGGCAAAGCCTAATGACTCATGATTCAGGTTACCATCTACACTGTCCAATTTACTTGTTTCTTAAACAATATGACACAGCTTATTAAAACTATAAAGACTAGAGAACATATATATACATACATACATACATATATACACATATAAATATATACATGTCTAGCAGAAGAAAGGTCCAACTTAACACAAAGCTAAAAAGTATGAGGCTTTCTATATGGAGAAATAACTGAATATAACTTTATAAGACTTTGAGGAATTATAGTTGTGTCTTGATGAAAAGTCTGAAGTATCTCTTAATATAGGTGCACAATAATGTCAAATGTTTCCTTCTAAGTTTAATTTACTGGGTAGTAGAGAAAGGTAGTTATAAATACCAGCTAAAGTCATATAAGCAGTTGCAGAAATGAGGATTGTAATTGACATGTTTCTGACCCGTTTAATAACATGTTTGTGCATATATACACACAGATATTTGTGTTTTCTCTGTCATGCAATGTAAATCAATTGCGATATCAGTGGTTAAGTATTATAAATCTCTATTATCATATTCAAGTTATGAGACCCCCAAAGGACTCATCATTCCTCAAGGCACTTTGCCACATATTCTAAAATATATAATGTACTTATGGTAGTATGTGGGATAGTTATTACATGTTATGTATATTGTTTTCATTTGGAAATTAAGCATGACAGAAAGAGGGGATTGGATGTCACAATGTCAAAGGGTGGACTTGTGATGGCTGATCTTGGTTGTCAACTCAACTGAATCTGGAATTAATTAAAACATGAGGTATGTTCTTGATGAGATTACTTGAAGCCAGAAGACCCACCCTAAATGTGGGCAGCACCATCTGGTGGCAGTCCATATAAAAGGACAAGGCAGAAGGGAATGCGTGCTTTTTGCCTGCCTGCCTTCACGCTTGCTGGCAAATTTATCTGTCTCATTTCTTTGGCATTCCTTCACCAATAACAGAACCAATTTTGGGGGGCTTCAATGTAGAATGAAGACCAGCAGCTCTCCAGGAATCCTCCAGGCCTTCAGTGACAGATTGGGACTGCCGAGACGTCCAGCCTTGTGGACTGTGGAGCAACTACTGGACTCCCAGCTTCTCCAGTATGAGACAGCACTGTTGGACTGCATGGACTATGTGGACCTTAGCGTGTAAGTCCATCTACTAAATCCCCTTTATATATAGATATATATAAAAACTGATATAATATACATATATACATATAATATCAGTTGTAACCTTATAAAACCCTGACTAATACAATATTCTCAGTGGTTTTGAACTTTGGTTCACCAATTGTAAATTATAGCACCATTATTTTGAAAATTAAAAAGACTGTGGTTGCCTCTTGGGTACATACTTGAAGAACTCTATGTCGACATACTCTAGAGATACTTGCACATCTGTGTTTACTGCAACACAATGCAAAATAGCTAAGTTATAGAACCAATCTATATGTCAATCAATAGCTGAATAAAGAAAATGTGAGAAGATATACACAATAGAGTTTTATTCAGTAGTAAGGAAAGATGAAATCAAGACATATGCAGGAAAATGGATGAAGCTACAGTTCATTATGTTTAGGGAAATAAGCCATACTCAAAGAGAAATACTGCATGTTTTCACTCATATATGGAATCATGTATGTGTGTGTTTGTAGAATGTGAAATCAGGAAGGGCTGTGGGGGGCGGCAAGAGAGGGAAATGGAATACATAGGACATAAAAGAAAAATAGGGACAAATTGGGGAGAGGACAGGGACCAGTAAAAGAGACATAGAGGGGATCAGGAAGACACTGAGGGAGGATGAGTAATAACAGGTGTGACGTGTATGTATGAAAATACCTTGATGAGACCCATACTTTGCATGCTAACTTAAAAACTGTTGCTGCTGAGATAGCTACTAGTTGATTCTACAGTAGGCTTGTTACACATTCAAGCACCAGAAACAGCATGGGTGCTGCTTACCTGGGGGCGTGTAGGCATCCATGGAGGTCTGCACAACCAGGGACCTGCGCTTAGAAGGCATTGGCACTGCCATCTTCCTTTCTTTGTGTTTAGCGAGAGCTGCCTGGACGGCTTCTGTATGAACATCTGAAACCAAGAGAGGCCAATTATTTCAGCACTCAGCCAAGGTTCCAAGGTCAGAAACTTAGTCCTTCCCCTCTTCCCTTGGGGTACATGGGATCTTTGTACCTAAGCTCAGAAACAGATAGGGAGAGGAAAGGAAAGAAGTTAGTCCCATTAGTTTGAAATCCTCAGTAGAAAGACATTAAGGGCCACCACATGCCAGGCGTGGTGGCACACACCTTTAAGTCCCAGCACTCGGGGGGCAGAGGCAGGCGAACCTCTCTGAGTCCCAGGCCAGCCTGGTCTACATAGTGAGTTCCAGGCCAGCTGAGGATACAGGGAGACCCTGTCTCAAAAAGACCAAAAACAAAAACGATAAACCAACCAACCAAACAAACCATCAAGATTCATTCATAGACTGTTATTCGTATTACCACTCAATCTGTATAAACAAACACCAGCTCCAAATTGTTGTGTGACTTTTAAAAGAGTGAATGGACCTTGACCATGATAGGTTCTATGTTCAGACTTTGTAAGTCCTTTTCAATATACTGTTAGAGAAAATATGTATAACTCACTAGTAATACTCAAAAATTGTAAGCTCTGACCCAGGCAATGTATGGGTATTTTATAAACTTTAACCCCATTATATCAACTCCACACATATTTATTAAATGCCTGTTTTATGTTTATTTCTCCCAGTGCTAGAAATGGAAAGCAAGGTGCTGTATGCCAAGCAAGAACTCTAAACTAAGCTACCTCCCTAACCCGAATGCCTACTCTGTAAGGCAGCATCCTAAGGACTGAGGACTCAGTGGTGATGAGACAGAAATGGGCACTGAGTCACATGCAGCTCAACTTCTAACTGACAAGAGATGACAAACAGAGAAGATTAATGGAAGATTAACCAAGGCACAGTTGCTTCTATGAATTGTGAAGCCAGGGAAGAGCTTTCTTCATTTGAAATCTAAACAGTACAAATGAACAACCCACTACTGGCTGTCAAGAGGAAAATCTCCAAAGTACAGAACATCAATCCCAAGGCCCTAAGCTGTATAGAGAACACTAGTGGCTGAGTACGTGAAGACCAAAGGCCAAAAAAGAAGGGTGCAGGTGTTCCTGGGATAGCAATCAGTATGAATTCCATTCTAAGTAAGACAGGATTTCAAGAGGCAAAGAACATGATCTGATTTGTTCTGGAAGTTGTATAGATGACTAGGAGAAGCTTAGAGAGCACTTAGACAACTCTTAGTGATGCCCTAAACATTTCCAGAGAGGGGATTCTCTTGTCCTCAGTGCAGAAGTGAGCCATCAGAGGTTATGAAACTGGAGAGCTACGTTGTGTGTATCTCAAGCCAGGCATGGCTGCCTTCAGGGCTTTCACCACCCATCCACTAACTCTTCCAGTGGTGATTCAAGAGCCTGCAGAACAGGCACCTTCTTTACCACATTTTTCCCAAACACCACCTGATCAACCCAGCTTTCTGCCAGAGACCCTGCTCCTACTTCACATTTAGAGCAAGGCTTAGCCAACTGCAGCCCACAGTATAAATATAGCCTAGAACTCTTAAAATCACATTTTTCTGGCACACAGCCATATGGCTTATCTATCTATAGATAGATGGTTACCCCACAGCAGAGCAGCACAGAGACCACGATGATCCAGAAAGCCCCAAGCATTTGCCATCTGGCCCTTTAGAGAAAACATTTGCTGATCCCGTGTTAAAGCTATTAAATGCCATTGACAATGAACTTATTACACTACTTAATCCTGTTTAGCTTTTGTGTGCAGTATTTTCTCCTCAAGTAGACTCAGTACTGTAAAATAATCTAGTTTTCTAGCTATTATTTTTCTTATGTTCGGAACAAAAGCTAGTAACAGCCAGATTCATGGCTTCACTGAAAGAAGTTGTCAGATGAGGTCAGAGGTTACTAATTTTCTACAAATCAAATGTTTTCAGTTTTGCATGTCTTCCTTTTAAACTTGGATATAACCTCAAATTTACAGAAAATCTCTAATGGCAACACAGAGAACTCCTGTTAAGATTTATCCAGATTTAGCAATTACTTACACTTGACCCTTAGGCTCTCTCATCTCCTTTCTCTCTCCATGAATCTTCAGAACCACATGGAAGTAAGTTATAGAAAGCATACCCACCCCTTATACCTAAATACTTCAATGTAGGTGCTAAAAACAAGGATATTCTCTTATAGAACATATATTTTCCTCAAAATCTGGAAATTCAGTTAATGACCTGCTATTACATAATCCAAATTCCATACTCAAGTTGTATCAACCAACCTGGTAATTTTCTTTATACTTATTTTGTCTTCCTAACCTGTGAGCTCACTCAGGATAACAGAATTTGTCACATCAGCTTTATTTTCCTTCAATCTGGAAGTTTCTCAGCTTTTATTTTCTATAAACTAGGTATTTTAAAGAGGACAGACCAGCTTCTTTGTAGCTTGTAGTTCAACTTAAGGTTTTCCTGCTTCCTTGTGATTAGATTCAGATTATGCCTGCCAATAGGAATACCACAGACATCCTCAGCAGGTAAATGTTGACACTGATCACTTGGTACAGGCAGTGTCTTTTGAATTCTTCAGAGTAAAGATGCTATTTCCCATTGCAGTAAGTAATTTGGAGCTGGCTGTGCAGGCCTAAAATCCTAGCCACTCAGGAGGCTAATGCAGAAGGATCACAAGTTCAAGGTTTATCTGGGCTACAGAGTGAGCTCAAAGCCAGTCTTAGAGCTTATTGGCCAAGCCAAAATAAAAGGTAAAAAGAGGACTGGGGATATAACACAACTCAGTGGTAGAACACTTGCCTAGTGTTGAAAGAGCACTAGGTTCAATTTCCAGATCCCATCACCTACCCAAGCAATCTAGGAAGAGACATTGACACTGTGGATACAATTTATCATTTATTTTAAAATCAATTGCTCAATTTCTCTACCTTTCTAGACAAAAGGAAGATGTTACTTAAGCAAAACAGTTACTGCAAACTTAAAGACATGTTCACATTTTTCTCTGTTGAGTGTTTTTAGCTACTGTGTCTGTCAAGGCTCTGTGGAGAAGTGTGGGGTGAAGGTCCATACTATAAACAATGCTACTTATATATAATATTGCTTATTATCAGAAAGGTTTTAAAGATTCCTGAGAGGTGAGTATTTGATAGAGAAACATAATTATGTAGCTTATTCTAGGCTAAGGAATAAGAAAACCAAACCATTCTTGTGAAATATGTGACTTTTATAACTGGAAAATTTGAGAACACTATATTGTGAGATACCAGTGTATCAAGGGATGGGTAAAATGGGTCTTGTGTAAATGGTGGGTGGGAACTGGAATGGAAAGAGCACAATCATTAAGTGGAGAGTTCAACAAACCTAAATGGAAGGGTTGTTCTGATTTATAGTTTGAAAGCTTAAAGTTCACCCCTTGTTGCATTTAAGACATGCCTCAAGTATGAATTACTTGAGACAAAAGTTGAATATTTAGTATAAAACATCTTGAGTACACAAGTATGCTCTACACCTCTGTATATTTTTTCATTAAAAGGTTTTAAAACTGTTCGCTCTGTACACAAGTCTACTAAATTCTTTTCATGAAATTGAGGGGAAACAGTAAAAGACTATTTCAAACTACAAAGAAGCCAGCATCCCTTGTTCAGAATGAATAAGAGATGTAGGGGAGTTCACCCACAGCTGACCTATGGGATATGAGGAAGAACAATATTGCGGCAGTCATGATAATGTCAGATTATTGACCTACAGACAAACAACATATAAAACGAATGAGGTAAACTAAGTTTGAAAACTATTTTCAAGGCTGGTGAGATGGCTCAGTGAGTAAGATCCTAATGATGAGTTTGAACCCCAGGATCCTCATGGTAGAAAGGAAGAACATACTCCCACAAACTGTCCTCTGGCCTCCACATGTGTGTCACTGCATGTTCCCCTAAAATAAATAAAATGTAACAAAAACCATTGAATTGTATATGTTAAACAAGTATCCCAATAACAGCAAGTCTACGTTGTATTTTAACACTAAACAATAGCATAGTGTTTAAAGACATTTGTAAAGAGCAATCTGAGTTTATCAGATGATCCAGCAAATAACAATTTTAAGGAAAACGAGATTATCTCTCCTCAAACTATTCTCTAGGGCCTGAACCCTTGTAGGTCCCTCTAACAGCACATGATCCCCATCAAAATAAGCCAAAGAGGTGGGAAAAGAGTAACTATGGTGGAGCTGAAGATCAGCCTCTTGAACTTGAAGTGTTATTGTAGCCCACAATATCCCCTTCAAAGCTCAGTAAGGACACCTGAGCTAGCATTTTCTTCCATTCATTAAGATGGGGATCAGTGCTGAATAATCCCAATGCAACCCCCAATACAGGAATGTTACACTGCTAACAGTTTGAACAGTGGCCAGATTAGAGGACAGATGTCTGAGGAAAGATGGTCTGAAATAGGGTGCTCAATGAGGGGAGAAGACACCAAACTATGCCACTGTGACTTTCCTCCCAGCCTCTCCTCTCCCCTTTGTTCTCATCCACAAAGCTAGTAAACGTCCAACTCCCAAGTAGAAAGGGAACGCTCAGTGTTATTACTGAGGAAGGCTTCTAAGAGTTTGGCTTAAAAGGCTGCAAATCCAGGATGGTTAATATTGTCAGTTTAACAGGATCTAGACTTGTCTTCTAGACAAACCTCTGAGCATGTCTGTTAGGGATTTTCTGTGTTAGGTTAACTGACATGGGAAGAAGACTGTAAATGTGGACTGCACTGTTCCATGGGCTGAGGGAGAGTGGGTGGGTGGACCCTAGACAGCATGAAAAGGAGATAGCTAGCTGAACTAATTCATACTGCTCCTTGCTTCTTGACTGTGGATACAGTGGCCAGCAGCCTCCCCTTCCTGTTGCCATACAGTCTGACCCTGATGGACTAGATCTCTTCCAACTGCAAGCCAAGACAATACCTTCCCCTCTCAAGTTGCTCCCTGTTAGGAATTTTGTTACAGCA